GAGATTTAAGGCTGAGGCTCAGAGCAGATGTTAGTGTTGATGATGATGGATGCAGGTTGTTGAGATGCAGAGTTGTTATCATGAGAGGCACTCGCAGCCTCCTCACAGCACACTTTCCCCCCAGATGTCACTGTGTGTGTGTGTGTGGCACAGCAGTGGAGAGGGAGATGCTGAAATGAGCAAGCCACATGCCCAAATTAGGTTAACACTAAATGTACTTTATCTATGTTGGTTTTTATGAAGTTGTAGATTGAAATTTCTTTAATGCAAGGAATTTCCTCCTCAGTCTAAACTTAGATCAACTACAAGTAATCACAACTACGAACAGAAGCAATGAAATACAACAAAGGAGAGTTTAGAGACTTATTGGCACAGATGAGGCTAATGAACAACTATCTTTTATACTCTTAGGTGCAGACACGGTGAAAAGCAACTTTCTCTAAAGGCCTGAATTGGATTAGTCTGAAGATTTTTCACCTTTATCTCACACAGGGAGAGAGGTTATATTTTCTTGCAATAAACCATGTATCACTGGGTTACCACATACATCCCTCCAATAATCCAAACTCACCAAAAAAAACACACACATTTGCTGCACAAACACACATAGATAGGCAGCAGGTGGTGTATGTCTGTGTGAATGGGACATGTTGAGTGGTAACCTGCTCTACACTCTAACCAGATAAAAGGTGCAGGACAGAAACACGTCGGTAATTGATTGCTAATTAGTTCTTTTGTTGTCGTCCATTGTGTCCTGACAGAGCTTTGCCCTGGGCTGTCTATTCACCCACAGACTCTCTGGCCTCGCAGCAAGGAAATAGGCATAGCCAGTCCATAATGAGACAGACTGATGTAACCCCAGCAGGCCATAGAAGCTGCTTGACAAAGCCTCTGTTATTGAACTCTTGGATGCAAATACATAAGACTTGACAGTGTATCCTCAATAGGAAAGCATGCATGCAAGTCTCATTCCATGATCCATGATGAGGTGATAAATGCCCAGCTGCAGTGTCCACCCCCACCCTCAGCTGCATTCTGCTTTACAGTATGTGTTGCAAAGGACTATGTGCCATTTCCACTGAGTTGCTATACCCACATCTCTCTCCCTCTCTCATCAGTGCATGAGAAATTACCTAATGAGGAATGGGTCGCACATTTCCACAAACTCATTAACCCGCGAGCGAGTGAGACTAATTGCAGCGTTTGGGTAATGTGATTTCACATCTGTTACTGCAGCCCAGGACACAGTAGTCAGCACAGGGCTGAATCTGGTGGGCTGAGCCACATAGAGCTAGATTTACCAGAACAACACACACACACACACACACACACACACACACACACACACTCAGGCTGACACCATTGCAGCTCCAGCCTGGATGGGTGGAGCAGCAGTCAGTTTGGCTGTGGTTATAACGTTTGATCAACTGTTGTCATGCAGTATCTTGTAATTACATGCCTCTGCAGGGTAGGTGGGCCCCCTGCATTCATTCTGCAAAAAAATGACAGACTACTGCAAGGGCAGAGCTGGGATGGGGAGTGTATGGAGGTAAATATACAGTATAAGACAGATAAGCAATGATTTTGAGTTAGCAACCATCACGAAGCAAACAGTCATTAAAGTAAGAAAAAGTGGCATCCATTCATTTCTTTCTGTTTCCCTGAAAGATTTGAGATGGTTGGCCAACTCTTTTCAACAAATAAATGGGTTTATTTATAATATCCACTTACGTCACTGATTTACACTGATACTAGTTTACACTGGCTGTAATGGTCAATGAGTATAAACAATTAATAACATTCAGATTTTTCCCTATATATACTACACTTTTACTGTGACTATAAATTCAACCCAGAAAAAGATTAAAAGGTTTTTCTACCAAGGTTTGTTGTAATTAGGCACTCTGTAAAATAATACAGTGTGGCCTGCTCATTGTATCAGTCTGTAAATGTAATCACAGTGTGGTTCTGTGATAATGCATGGCACACTTGGAAAATAATGTCAAAACTGTTTTTTTATTTTATTATTTTATGTTGGAAAACTTCAGGCTACTTAATTCCAGCTAATTGTGTATAACAAAAACATAGGGTTGCGCGCACACACACACACACAGACAAATGTGAAAGCACAGAGAGGAATAAATGATTTTTTCAGGGTCTTGACTTGGGTTGGTATTTTCAATAATTCAGTAAATTACTGCAAACAAATTTATGTTAATAGAAAAGGTGGGAACATACTGTTTAATATGGGAAAAGTAATATACTTTTGTTAATTATGATTAATCCTTTGTTTAACCCCCCTGCATTGTTACAGAAACTCCAATTATAAGTTTACAGGCAGTGGGACTGCTTATGGTAATGCCATATCTCATCAATTACCATCCCGTGACCGTAAATTGGCCTCAGCGCTGACAACGAGATGAGGTTAACACGCTGATTAATTTGAGCTGCTGTGATTTCAGGCTCAAGTTGACACTTATAATCTTTGACACAAAACAGTGAGGTCCGCTCACTTTCATAATGGAAAATTTGTATTTACTTCTTCCGGAGCTGAGTTTATAGACATTACATCTCACATCAGGATAATTTGAAATTAAAGTAACGCAAACAAGGTGAGAGTTTTGCTTATTACAGAACTGCTGTGGAAGTAATGAGGAATTTTAAATAAATGTCAAATGATCAAAAGGTGTAAAGGCTAAACTGTTTAACGCTGATTATCTGTATTTTTATTTTTATTTTTGTGCAATTACATGCAATGTAACACTATACAAGTTAGGCCCAATAATAAATCAGAAATAATGAAAACATGTCAGTTTGCCAATTGTCATGCTGAAGCATGACAATGTGTCAGTTTGGATTAATAAATGTCATAGAGGTTTGTGTTTGTCCATTGCCTTAAAAACATATTCGTATTATACTATAGTTATTGATACAGTAGCCATTTAGTTGCCAGAACAGAAATATGCAAATACATTTTATTCCCCCCTATCATTAGCCTAGGAAACACCCGGATCGACATGTCTATTATTTATGTATCTAATTGATATTTAGCAATTGCTCATTGTTGTCTGTTATTGCGAGACAGCTCCCTCCATAAAACATCTGTTTGTGCTGCATAAGAAGACTGAAGTAAACCATTGAACACGTTATTGATACAAACAGTGGTGCACAATTGTGAGATTTGCCTAAAGTGTATTACGGTAATTCAATTTTCTAAAAAAAAATGTCTGTGTGTGAGTCCATGTAGAAAATCTCCCGGTGTTTTCTATAGGTCTATCTGCACTATGACCCTGCAGAAGTATTAAACATGTACCACCGCCAATAACCGGTGCCAGAGACAAACTGTTGATTCCTTAAACTGTGTGAATAATAATATGAAACCTATACAGTGAGAGTGCCTTGGACCATCAGTAACTTAAAAGTGAAGATCTCCTTAACCACTTTAATGACACCGCAGTAAAATACTGTACAGTAAGTACACAATCAGCTACCTAATATAAGATGGCACTGTTGCTGTGGGATGTCATATACACAGGAGTAACCTGCAGGTATATCAGACTAAAGTGTGACCCAGATAAAGGTTGATAGGTATAGTCTATTAGGGTTATTGACAGGCTAATATAGTGGAATTGCAGTTATGTATATTTCTGTAACATTCATGTGAGAACTGAGCGCCCTTGTATTTTCTCCTCTGACATTGCCATCATAACCCCAGTTGGATATTACAGCAACTTTTTCTGCAACTGATCGATTATGTCATTTCTGCTTCGCGAGGTTGCGATCATCAGCCAACTTTAGCCTTAAAATAAAAGCTGTAGACACTATAGGCTGATACACACTATAGACATAGACACACACAGGCCTGTGATTCCTTTAGTTTAGTTACAGTCCATCCAGTCTGCTCAGTGGGATGACCGTCATGGTTAAAAGCAATGACCGTCACATCACAGCACTGACATCTTTACCGCTGCTGTCTGCCACCGTGGGACCATGGGACCAGTCACCCTTCATAAACCCTTTAACCCTGTCACCTCAAACACTGGAGAAAAAAACATATATATAGTAAATATATATATATATATAGGCTATATACAGTATCTTTGCAGTCAAGCCCATCATATAGTAGGCCTATAAGCTTGGTAAAAAACACCAATAATATTGTACTAATCAAATGATCATTTTTGATGTAATCCAAATAAACCAAATCCCTGCACAATTAAATATTGTAAAGTACCATCTACAATCAAGGGTACTGGGGTCACATATTTTTCAGTGCCTGTAGGAATTTGTACAAAATGGTCGTTATGATACCTCGTTCAATTCAATGGAGACATGAATCATTCTTGTTTTGACATTCTTGAAAATTACTTTTATTTGTTTCTTCATTTTAAATTGGTACAAACCCGTCAATGTGGTGCATTTCGATGTAAGATCAAACATTTAAGAAATGTGTCAAGTAATAGCACATACAATAAGTTAAAACATGTCACAAAAAAGACCAGCGGGTACATAGCAAGAATGTTTTATCTACACAAAACATCCTAAAACAGAGTAGGCCTACTGAAAGATCATTGCATTTTTTTCCTCTTTAGATTTTATGTTCCCGTCTCATGCAGACGAGCCTGGGGTCGCCTAACAAAGGTAGCTCTTCACTCTGAGTGGGCACCATTTTCTCCTTAAATTATCCAAGCGTTTAAATCCACATGCACAGTGCATGCCTGAGACCCAGTTCAATAGGCCCACCTACAGTATGGCGCGTGTGTGGTAGGCTGTTACCAAAATGTATACCCAATCTTATAAATAACCGTTTGACATAACACAACTTCACCTGAACACAATAACATGTGTGCGTAAAGACACACTCAGTGAAAACGTAAATACGACGATTGTTTGGCTCCCAGTAATTAGGGCCTATAGTCTAGAGATCATTACAATAGTATTTATCATCAATAGTTGATAAAATCCTTTTGAATTAACAAGATAAATAACCCCAAACCCAAGTTATTTTTTTTCTTCCATTTGTCCATCAGTGTTGTCCTTTTTCTTTTTGTCATTATGTCTAGATGAAGTCACATACAGTCTCCATTTTCTCACATTTTCAGGCCTGATTGGCTCGCTCGCTCTCACGTTTTGATCTAAATAGCGGGAATAAAAACAGAAAAAGAGCCGCAGGGCTGGGCTGGGAGAGGGAGTTTGGAGGAGAGGGGTGTGGTGGCGTGTATTTGAAAAGTCACTAAGTGAAACTCATGGACACTGTGTGCTCCAGCGCTTTGCGCCGCAGTGACGCGATGCTTGTCCCTCTCCACATGTCACTGTCCGGGGAACTACACAGCTGCGGGGAGCCCGTTACGTTCGTGGGGCCGGAGAGAGAGGCCGACATTCCAGGGAAATGCGACTGGTAGAGGTGGGACTGCAGACCGGAGCCGTTGGAGGACAGGCCGTTGGAGAGACCCATGGAGTTTGGTGGCGGGCCTGGACCCAGACTGCACTGTGACAGAGACTGTGGCATTCCCGGCTGGCGACCCAGGGCCGGCGGGAGCTGCAGCTGGGACACCCCCGGCATCCCCGTGGCCCAGCGAGAGTCGTTGGCGTGGAAGGAGCACAGGCTGTTCTCCATGGCGGCCGCGGCAGAGAACTGTGGCAGGCCCGGTGTCGGGAGCAGCGTCCCCGGGGAGCGGAAAACATTGGTGGTCTTCTTCCTTTTCTTCCACTTAGCGCGTCTGTTCTGAAACCAGACCTGTAAGCAGAGAGAGAAAACGGTGAGCCACCAGAAGCACAGACCGAGGAGCATATGCCTGGAGCAGTATCTGTTTATTACACCGTGAGGAGGGCAGCAAGGTGGAAGCATGTCCCTACTGTGTGTGTTACCATGGGAGAACATTACTATTACGCACGATAATATCACTAAAGTCTCTCTACACTCAGACAAACTTTAGGGCTCTAATAGGACATTGGGGTCTTGTCTAGAGAATATAATACAATATAACCGATCCACCCTGCTACAGTGTCATTGAGCAACACAAATTCTCTACTAGCTATGGGGCCTGGCCTGAGTCTGATCGTATACTGTTTGACCACTGAGGCAAACGAAATTAACAAGACATAAATGTAGACCTTCTGCAACTGACCTCAGGACCTCTTCTCACAATATATTCACGACCTCTAGTGCAGATCTTTGAAGGAGCACTGTCTTATAGCAAGCACAATTCATGAATCCCTCTATTAGAAAATTAAGTAAAGCCTATATAACTCAGAAACTGCAAATACCAACCATCCTGCTGCTGTTAACGTGTAATTCTGCTTCTAAACAGTTATAGATGGAACTAAAACAGTGAAAACACAAAGGATATTTAATCGTAAATACAATACAACAGGGCTCTTTGTATTAAAAAAAGCAGCCGTCACAGATGGTTTTATTACTTGTGTTCCGCAGCAGTGGGCGGAACAATTTATCTTTCTAACATCTTATTTACAAGCAGATTAACTGAAAATTGCCCTAAATACTGTGTGGCCTTAAATACAAACATTACTGTACACACACACACACACAAATAAAATCTACCCATCCAAACACGCACAAGCGCGAGAACCACAAACACACCGAGACCACGTACACAGCTAAAAAACGCGCGCTTGTCCCTGTTTGGGCTTTATAAAGATTTCATCATCCAAGGGCGTGATTAATGCGCGCGCGAGCCCGTGAGTCGATGCCTCCGTATTAAAAGTGAAATCTCGCTCTCATTCCGCTCAGCCATCCGTGAAACGTCGCCCAAACCCATTACACTCGGGGGGGAAAGAAAATGCAATTTCTCATTCCATTAAAAAAGTACAATATATTCTTGAGTCCTATTAAGACGTCGCTGATGGAGCATTTTAAAGGAGAGGCTGTGGAGGCACGCACGCACGCACGCACGCGGGGCCAACACGCCCACTGAAGGCTGCACCTGCACGGGCCTGCACTAATGTTTACCAACAGCGAAGCACGGGCAGACCTGCACCGAGCGGTTAGCGTCCTGCAGCAGATAGAATAAAGGATTGATTATTAAGGTGACTAATGATTATACTGGTTTTATTGCTTTCAGTGGGATCATTTGCATGAATTTCACATCACTGGTTAATAACCCGTTCACTGTTATAAATAAGACTGAAATTGGTTGATAATGTGTTTGGTTTATTAGAGCTCGGTATGTTCCTGCATGCTTGTTCAAAAAGAAGCACTGTATGTCACAGCCAGTTTGAGCTTTTTTAAAAGGTGGTTCATATGTTCAATTAAAAGTATTATTAAAAAGTACTATTATTAAATACATTTTCATTTGCCAAAAAAAAAATATGTGCCACACATCCCCGCCCTATAATTAAGTAAAAAGTGGGAATTATATTTTGAAAATGAAATTCTTCTAGATATACTCTAGAATATTTTGTCCAGGGTTTGTTATGGTAAAAAAATATATAAAAATAATTATCAAGGGCTTAATAACACTTGTGTAATTTTGTGCAAATGTTGCAGGTCCACATTTAAAATTTGCACAGAAACAAATTTAAAAAAAAAACGATATTAAGAACTTCCAGACACCCGATTTCAATATTTCCGAGTACAGACCCCACAGGTGGTGTTGAGCAATATTTTCTAAAATATTTCTAAAAGCCATCTGAATATTTCCGACTGGATTCCTGCTCGTTATCAGCAGAAATGTTTCAGCACCTTGGACAGTGCTTTATATGTGAGGTGGGGCTCGGCTTCTTAAAATAAATATCGCTTACTATCAGGCTAAACAAATGATGAGATATTTGAATCATATAATTCACTTAAAATAGGCTTGAATTTGAAAAATTTCTAAAACAATTCTTAATTATAAATATCAGAACACAACGAATCTATCCTTTTTATGCAGAGTTGTTTTCCATGCATTGTGCGTAAGGCAGGATATAGTGCTGTGTATAAACCTAAAAAAGAAATATTTCAAGTGATTCTATCACTTTAATGACAGTACATAATAGTACAGTTTAGGTTATGTTTGATGTAACTGTCCACTCCACCCGTTAGCTTTGATATTACAAGCATTTGCACACAAAACTTAACATCTACTGGCTACAATTATGGGGGACAAATAACTGAAAATACATTGTGCTAATTAAAATAAATCATTATAAGTGACCAAACTGTCTTTTACAAGAGAGAACACCGGTCCTGAACCCTCTCCTGATATGAAACTAGCCCATTTTGCACAATGCCTTCCAGATGGATTCAAAGGAGGATTTTTGGACATTTATATGATGCTGACAGATCAAATCTGGACAACCACACCCTGCCACTGCATGCCAGTGTCTGCATCCGGTCAAATCATCCACATTGCACATCCGTTTACCTGAACTCTGGACTCGGTGAGACCGATCCTCAGCGCGAGTTCCTCCCTCATGAAGATGTCAGGGTAGTGGGTTTTGGCGAAACTGCGCTCCAGCTCGTTGAGCTGCGCCGGGGTGAAGCGCGTCCTGTGCCGCTTCTGTTTCTGCTGGCTGGAGGTCTGACCGGAGCTCTGCTGCGGTTGCTGCTGCTGCTTCTCCTGCTCCTTCCCGTTCACCGGCATGCCGGCAGAGTTGGATCCCACAGTGGCGATGTCTTCTCCCGGCAGGAGAGTCGTTCCTTCTACAGAGTCTGAACCAGGGGCCATGTCTCCCGGATGCCCCTGGTCTGGCACCCCACCACCCAGCCGGCACTTGAGAGCTTCTCGGTGTCCGAGTAACTCTGCAGCATCCTTCATCCCTGAGAGGATAAGGAGGAGAGAGGCTTTGAGTATATACAAGGCAAATCTTAAAGCGCAGCATCTTTAAACGAGAGTTACATGAAATAGCTTCGCTCCTTTATGACAAACAGGTAGATCCATTTAAACAACATGACAAATAAACTCAATGTAGCTTAAGGTCGTAATTTTATACCGTCATTTTTGCTGTCAGATCATTTCTCATTCCTGATAAATTACTGTAAAGAATTGCTTCGACCAACAATAAACCACTTAGCTGTTAACATAATTATCTACACAGTCTATCTATCACTTCACAAGGTTGAACAAGAAGTTGAAATCTTACACTGGAGTTTAGGGCCGGAGTTTAGTGAGGATAACTCACCGAGCCGAGCATCCAGGAGGTCGGCGTGAGAAAGCATCGCGTACCGCTCCAGGGCGAAAGGCGCTCCAAAAAAACCCTACAACTTTGGGGCAATTTAAAAAGTATATATCGTCTAAATGAACGAAAATTCGGTTTGTGGTTAAAAAAAGGAGGTCCCTTGCATTATAATGCCCTTTAGAGCGGTGGGGAGGCGCTTATTAGTTGAAAGAACCCGTGAGCTTCCTCAAATAAGAGCCAATCAGAGCGGGAGCTTGGAAATGTCAGCGACGTGACTCCCCCCTCTTTCCCCCCCCCTTTTTTTTACACTCGTACGCACGCACGCAGGCACGCAGGCATGCGCGCCCCAAACGCGCACGAAACACTACAATTCAATTCAATCCTGTGCCATTCCGTCCTCTGATTTATTAGCTTTTCATGCTTAAATTATTCCACGTTAAACATCTTAATGTGTTTGTTTAATCTCATATAGCCCGTGCCATGACAGGACTCCTGTTTGTGGATTTACATGTAAAATACTGGAGGTATTGAGCTCATGAAAGGCTAGCTTTTATTTAGGAGAGGAGATAGGAGCTTACAGGTATCTGAGCCAGAAAATGTGCTGCCATTAAATAATGAGCCAGATCAAAATCTCAATTTTCAAATCACTGGGCTGTGTGAATTAGTTTACAAACAGTAATCGTACGCCAGAAAGGGAGGATCCATTTCCCAAATTAACTAAGAAAATCTATAAATTAAAACAATTTTCAAGCTGATTCGTCCTCGTATGTAGAACTTTTGTTTTTAACATTGAGAGGAACAGCAGATATTCTGTACAGATCAGGATGTGGACTTTGGGAAGCCTTATAACGCCAGGCCTCAGCACCCCAGAGCCCCACTTCCCTCCCGTCCTTGGATCACAAACAAAACGAATATCGCTCCCATTCCCCCATGGCAGGTGATTTGTGGAGACAAATCGAGGAAATAAATAAATAAACGAGTACAGATGGATTTAAGCGCTGTTAGTGATCGGCCGCTTTAACTCCCATCGACTTTTCATCAACGCGGGCGCAATTAAAGGTATTTAGGCCTGTTTGGTTCAAACAGAATCAGACGTGGTAGACCCTAAACGATTGTGCCCCTTTAGCAGAGGTCCATAAGTAGGTCTATTATACAATTAACAGGACAGCCATTGATCTGCGCTCCACTCTTACTTCTCCAGACAGTGCTGGTTAGAGAGGGCTTTTGGCAGATGTCAGGGCGAGCCTGGTGAATAGACCACCGCCTGGGACTAAATAGGTTTCTTTGCAGCCGCACAAAGGAGGCGTCCGAGCGAGGACTCCTCTCTCTCCTCCTGCGCCACATAGGCAGCTCATCTTTTATGCTCCTCAACCGCAATCTGCCGGGACGCAGGGAAGTAGCCTATATGTGGCACAGCGTGAAAACTTTAGGAAATGGACTGGTGCATGGTCCACTGAGATGAGGAAAGCTGTGACCAGCTCCCGAAGGTTCAGGAGAAGCAATCAGCGACAGAAGCAGAGCCTCGATTCGTTTGATTCAGACCTGTAAACCAGGAGAGAGGAGAGGGAATCTCTGTGTTGGGAGTTGTAAGGCCAACCCTGCGTTTGTGAAGGGCTTGAGCCTGGAGAGACGGTCTGTATGCTTTGGAAGGTGTTTGATTTCCAATTAGTGTAAGCATGAAGACAACTGATGTAACAGAAAATAAATATAGATAAATATATATAAAAATAAATAAATAAATAAAAGCTAAATTGTTGAAATGAACTCAACCCAAGAGATAATTTTCCTTTCTGCTGCAATCTTCTTACACAAAATGAGCATTAATAAATATATGAATAATGAATAATTTATTCTATTGGGTAAATTACAAAGTAAGTAAGTGTTATTCTAATTCAGGATTATTTGAAATTATTTTGAAGGCAATTATTCAACCTATTGTCCGAGTCTAAGTTTGACGAAGTTTGCTTTTTTTTTTTGAAAAAAACATTTTGACAATTAAAAAATAAAAGTGCATTACCGGAACTATCATTATTATTATAGTTATTTATATTTTATCTTTGTTGTTTGTTTGTTTTTATCTCATTTATTTTGTCAAGTACCTTTTTTAGATAAGTGCTATAGAAATAAAGTTATTATTGTCATTGTTGTTATTATTATTATCATAAAAAATGGTGTTGGGTAATTTTTTTTATCCAATATTTCCTTTCTATAGAAACATAAATAAAGATAAACAGATACATAATTATACAACTAATACTTTTATAACAACAATAACAACAATAATAAATTAATATTGGATTATTATGTTGAAAGTATTAGTCTGCCTTTATAGGACAAAACCTAATTCAGAGTCATTAATATGGACGCTCTGTTTACATAATAAGATAAGGCACGTGCAAAAATGAAAAGGTTGTAGTTGTTTTTGACAGCCTGCTTTTCTGAAGACCTACATGATAAATATTGATATTGTGGTTAGTTGCAGTGAAAACAGCCCGGATAGCAGATATCCCCTCAGCTGTCCGATCCTCAGGCTGTAACTTATTGCTGTAATAAGAGAAACCCACTTGAAATGGTTCTATGTCTCACTCAGCCTCCCTAACTGGACCGCATCAATCTTCCCCAGTAAAAACACACTCACATACAATCCTCCCGGGTTAATGCGGCGCATCTGAGTGCGGAACGGCTGTTTACACGCGAGGAGACACTTTTAATGGAAGCGCACCAAAAACAAATGCAATTTTGTAGAGCAATTTCAAAGATCAAGAATTCCGTGTCCACCCTCTCCGCGGTTTTTTAGCAATCAAACTGCGTTAAATCCATTGCTCATATCGGCCTTTGCAGAACAGGTTAAAACAATACAAGTAACAAAAGGCAGATGCGTAAATAAGATCCCTTACACCACAGACACATTGTAACATGGACCAGTAGGCGAACAGGCCTATTGCATCGCCTCGTAGGCATCTGCATTCATTCAGTTATAGAAATCTAAAAGGAAAATCGATTTTCCAATCCGCAGAAACGGCTCTCTAACAAATCACACAGTAGTTTTGTGCAGGTGATTTGATGACAGTCGGAGGAATAAGAAGCACACCAATAAGTGCGTTGCATCCGAGCCCGAGAGATGCAAGCAGAGAGAGGCGAGAGCGGAGAGCCACAGACAGGCAAACCCATTAGAGGCTCCCCTCTTCGGCCACCCAGCCTTGCTGCACCACCCCGCGCATCTCATGCCCCAATTAGACCCGCTGCCCTCCGCCTGGTCTCCGTTACTGCGTGATCTGGTGCACAGAGCGGTAATCACGGCTTCAAATAAAATAATCAGCAAAGAAGAGCGATTTCCTTAATGAGGAAGAAGAGGCGTGTGTCACGGAGAGTGTGGTGGATGTGTGAGTGCGTGTGTGTGTGTGTGTGTGTGTTATTGGTGGTGTTTGGGAGGTTATTAAAACAGCAATGAAAGTCACAATAGGTGCCATTAACATGATGGTGTTCAGAAGCTTTAAAAATGTCTCATCACTAGTTGACCCCGCTGTCAGGTGTTCTGTGTTCAGGATGCTCCTTTATTTTGTAATTAAGAGAAACAGCCAGAACAACCTCAAGTTCAAGTTAAAGCCATATGTGGTTCATAAACATTAAGTTCAGCACCTTAATCAAATTTAAACATAAAGGTGGAATGTTTCAATATGTTTATTATCCTATAAAGGAAAAGTACAGTCATGAATGTGCAGCATCACTTTTCCAGTTATATTAGGTGGCGCTTACTACTACTGTGGACTGTGGAGGCTCAACTGTAAGTTTACCACCACCTTACACATCCTCAGATCAGAAATCCTCATCTAAGCTCTCATCATAGCCAGAACAATCCTGGTTCTGCATTCTCCAACCTGTCAACTGGTTAGTTTAACCTATGGCATTGTGTCTTCAGTCTTGTGCCTGTGCAGGTGAATGCAGAAGGGCCTCTTACTTAATAAAAACCATTCAGAATTTGTGATGTTGTGATGATTTAATGGCTAATAAAAGCTTTTTCTTCACAAAGAGACCATAAACATTGACTGTTCAGCTCAAATTCTCTTAGTTGACCAAGAGAGTTTAACGCCTGATTAGTCACCTAATTGACTAAAAGGTGGCAGCACTAAACATCACACACAGACAACAAGGGATCTGCTGATGCTGGTGGCAAAGAATCACAATGGTCAGTACAATCAGGATACCAAACTTATATTCAGTTATCATACTGATATCTGATATTGTCCTGTAAGACTCAAAGGAACAAGACCTACATGTACTGTATCCATCTACAAATCCTTTAAATTTTAAAATTAGGAAATTAGAAATGACCAAAATGGGGATTTTGGCAAATTTGCACACCCCTTAAAATCAATAAAATGCTGAAACTCCATGGAAAAGCTATGATTATCAATTTGAAATCAAAGCCTCTCTTTCCCAGAACTTGATATTTTAGAAATACAGGGTTTAAGGCCAACAAAAAACAAATCTTCTTTAAAATCAGTTTTGACAGCTTATTGTCTCAGAGCATCTACTGAGGTTAGCAATACAATTCTGATAAAAGCTTGATTCCACTTGATCACACCCTGTGTGTTGTCATTATTTCTAATGCAATGTGCCTTTTCCTGCATGTTAATTTAATTTCTAGGTATAAATACTCTCAATTATTTAATTATTCCTGTCTTAACTTAATCACAGAAGCAAAATATTGCCTGTGATCTATTGTATTTGCAGTCTGACCTCAGTCATTTAAGCTTCTCCAGCCGTCTACAGATCTAATTCCTTCTCCTCCCTGACACCTTGACTTTCCCTCCAGTTCTGCTCCAGCTATTAGAATATGTTCTTTCTTAAGTCCGGTCATTAGTTAGGTCCATTACTGTGGCTCCATCATTAGGAAGCTGTAATGCATCATTGAAGGTAATGAGTGCCTTACATTACAGGTGCCAGCGAGCCTTAGACACACTGAACAAGAACCTTTTCTTTTCTTCTTCTTTCCCTGAAAACAATTCCAGGTTTTACTGATTTAACCACAAATCTGTC